TCCAACAACTTTATAAGGTATGAGTGCACCTCTTCTCTTGTTACCGAGTGTGGAGTGTAACCAAAATAGTGAGTTAATTTAGAAGTGTGATATCTTATATTTAATCGCTTAGTATGTGTGATTGGTATTGGTTACTTAGTGATATTTATTTTCCTAGCGTGTGATATTTACGATTTCAAGTTGTATTAGTTAAAATTATTCAGTCGTGCGATTCAATAAATTGTTTTGTAAAGTTACTCTCCGTTCTCATTCCTTTGCGTTAACTCAACGAACTCGCGCTGTCGCGGCATTTGAAATATAGTGCCGTCACAGTATGCATAAAGAAATATAACTAAATGTTGTAGTTGTGATACTTCCTAAAGGGGATAAAATTTCAACCTTGATGGTTTGAATGTTTAGGTTAATTTAAAGAGGTATGTATAACAGGAAACTTAAATGAAGTAGTTGATCTCCAAGTCAAAACAGTCTCAAACTAAACATGCTAGACTTGCAGAATCATATACGAAAAGCATTATTCATGTGAACAAGTCATTTCTAAAATTCTGTTTCATAGCAACTGACTAATAATGACTAATGAAACCCAATCCCTAACAGCCTAATTTATATTTAAGGACGTACAACTATATGGGGCCCACGTATAATCGCATGGTCGAGGCCTTCGCTAATTGTGACATGGAAAGGGCGCGTCAAGAACAGGTAGGACTTTGGGGAAGGGGGGGGGGGTAGCACAGGTGGTGTGCGTTGCTATATGATGCACCACCTCTCAATGCTGTTGTCATGGGATCGATGCCTGGACTCGCCATTATATATGGATGTGAGTGGAGTTGTTTGTTGGTTCTCTCCTGTGCTTGGGGTTTAAGTCGTGTCTTTGTGTAAACCTACTAAAATTACTTCACAATTCTTCTTCTCTTARGATCGTTCTCAGGCTCTGGTTAAGGTCTTGCAGAAACATGGTAAATAGACAACTAATGAAACTTTCCTCTTTAAGAATTTATCGAGATTTTAATGAACTGCATAACTTAGCAAGTGTGCTAAACCCCTCCCTCCCCTCCCCCCCTTCCCCCCTCCCTCCCCAACAATATTTTAGAAAACGTTTTGGAGTTTCCTGACAACCGTTTCTTGGGTCCCACCTATCGAAAATCATCTTGTAATCCACAAAGAACCCTTATGGCTATCCCTACCATGCATACGTATGGGACCTCTTCTCGTCCAATATTGCCTAAAGTCGCCCAAATTTCCAAAACGTTTGCCGAATTTGACAAATTTTCAAAAAAAAATCCAGATTTGCCGCTCAATGCTGCAATGTGCACCAGCATTGTACTTCAAGGAGAGCCGTATTGGTCGAAAGACAGTTCATTTTATTCACCCAATTTAATTTTCGATAGGTGGCCACAACGGAGTCCAAAAATCTATTATGAAACTTCGAGGTCTTGACGTGGGATACCCGCGCCTTCCCGTGATGCCCCTGGATGAGGATCAAGTTGATAGTTTGAAGAAGGACTTGCAAGGTATTGGTTTCTTTGACTGGTGTAAGTAAGAGTTCCTGAAAAAAGACGAAATACTTTTAACGGAATGATCGCTTAATGAATTATGAAAGAAATATCTAACTGATCACTGGAAAGATGTTAACCAATCAAAATCGAGAAAAATTTTCAAGACTGAGGGCTTGCCCGGGGGGGGGGGGTACTCCCCTATATTTGCTATACGGGTATGTGCCGCCCTATAGGGTATGGTTTTTCGGCTTCTGGGTCTGGGGTAGGGTATCATTTTTTGACATTTTGTCTGGGATAGGGTATCATTTTAGTCTGGGATAGTGTTAACGATTTGGTCGTTTTTGTCTGGAGAATAGGCTACGCTTTCTGCCGACCAAAAACAATGAAAAATGTTAGTAAAAATTGATTGCAATCTGTTGAAAAACCGTCTTTTCTGTCTTTTAGTCTGTGATAGAGTGTACAATTCTTAGTTTTAGTCTGGGGTAGGGTATGTAAAATCAAAATTTTAGGTCTGGGATAGGGTCAGGGTTTCGAGATCCTGGCGGCACACCCCTACCCAAGTTGGGGTGGTAGTACCCCCCCCCCCCGGGAGGGCTTGTCACTTTTCCTCTTGAAATCACGGATTTCTACGGATTTCCTCTTGAGTTCACTGATTTCGACTGAGAAAAAATCTAAGTCAAAACCCTGTCTAAAACTTCTGTGAAAACGCTGCTTACCACTAATGAATCTATCCATATCCAAGATGGGAATCGTATATCCTGTCTAATACCAAATTAAAAGGCCAAAATACATACGCTCTTCAGCAGAACATTCCATTATAGACAATATATGGACGTATTCACCCAGGAATCACTTCTCAATCTTAGTAAACCCTGCTTGAAGTAAGGGATCCCTTTTCGTCTTTCTGTGACGATAGCACAGGCCATTTAGAAGTTCTTCAATTCTTCCTTAGTTGGCCTTCGCTTAGTCTCCTACGCAGCCGCTATTAGCGTCGTCACGCCACACTCACTCCCCTAAGTAGTTGCCGCTACTTAGGGAATAAGCGTTGCGTGACGAAACTAATACGGCTGCGTAGGAGACTAGCCTTCGCTCAGAGGACTTTGAACAGCATCCGAAGTCATTCCGCCTTTCCCGCCCTTTTTCAGTCAGTTAGTAACGGATTGTGATTTAGCGCAGCAAGTCAATGATGTTGTGTCAAAAGAGATAAGGCAAATTGCTTATGACTTTGAACAAATCTCGTCAAATACAGTAAAGGAATATCATCACGGTCGCTTACCTGCATTAAGCTCGTCGAGAGCGTTTTTAATTGGAGTTCCTGAAGTAAAAGTAGAAACCGCGTTCTACAAAAACGAATTAATTTTCGCACTTTTCAGAAGCAGCTTTTTGAGGTAGAATACCTTTGACATCCCTGTATGTTTATTTGAAATTAAATACTGTAAATGAATAAAACATCTATTTGGTTTAATTTGGTTCTTAAAAATGTGTTTCTTTATGTGCTTCAGTGAACGATCAATCAGTTTAAATTTTTCAGTCGTGACTGTGAGCATAACCTCATCGAGTCGAAAGCAGTTCTTGCGTGAAATTGCAAGTAAAAGCCAATCGCCATAAGCGTATATACAAGCCAAGCAAAAGGATCGTTCCGATTCCCCTTCTTACCCGCTACTTTACTCTGAATCCAGCTCGGTTTTCTGGTATTCACTTCGTCTTAAGCTGCATCTGACCCCGACTGCGTCGTAATTGAAAACAAGGCTTCAATGAGCACGTTGCTTACATACATTAGCATAACACTCGCTGCAGTGCACTACAACTAGTCGTATTCTATAGCAGAATGGCCGATTCTTCAACCGCCTCTAAAGTCAAAAAGGGGTTCTTGAGAAGACAAGGTAATGGGAATTTTTGCACCTCTTGCTTGCGTGCCTTCTTCCGCCGTGTCCGCAGTGATCTCATGCTCACTCTGATACTGATTGGAGTAGTTATTGGTTTTATTATTGGGGCCCTGATCAATGGAACAGTCAACGACATCACCGACATTGAAAAGAAAACTACAGTTATAATGTTGGTTGGATTTCCGGGGGAGCTGTTCATGAACATGCTCAAATTGTTAATCCTTCCTCTGATCGTCGCCAGCCTCGTAACCGCTGTTGCATCCTTAGACGCAGAAGCAACGGCCAAAATAGGTCGTCGCACGATAACCTATTACCTAAGCACGACCTTCATGGCCGTTGTTCTTGGGATTGTGTTGGTGACGAGTATTAAGCCTGGCGAAGGAGGGAAGCCTGTCACAGATATCGTCAAAGAGGTGCCGAAATTTCGCAATGTGGATTCTTTTCTGGACTTRATCAGGTTTGAAAAATATCCATTGTACAACTGTTTCTTACTTTTTATGTTGTGTTTAATAAACGAGCAGAAGTGTTTTTTCGGGTCAACTGACTTACTCATGCAAATAGTTAAATCCCTTATAGTACATTTTTGCGTTTACTGTAAATTTACTACTACTACTACTACTAGAGTGATTTTCATACACCTGTGAAATACATTTTAGCGTATTTAATACTATTAAGCTCTAACTCCTTTGTTTTCTATTGTTTACCATCTCGTGTGAGTAACTTTTGCTTCGCGGGTGAATTAAAACCACTCTACTGCCACTACTATTACTACTGATTACCATTTGATTTTGGTTCCTGTTCCTTGGACTTGGAATGCCGGGAAGGGTTGGGGTGTTGGTGTTGGGTACTGAATGGTTCACATAGTGTAAGCCCTAAATAAACAAGTTATATAAATCAAGCTCTTTTTCTATCATACTAAGCCCAAAACTAATTTTTGAATATTCGTGACAACTATTCTGCCCATATTTGGGGTGCATGTGACGTCATATCCACCCTTTTTGGTTGACATTTGAATGAACGCCCGAAAGAGCACAGACTACATTCAACTGTTACTTTAATCGGCTGCAGTGAATCATCATTAAAGTCACGCATGTACTAAAGGCATGTCTACTCATGCAGTGCTACTTATACGTTCCAGTTATTTTTAATGTTTTCTGTTTTCGTCTCTTCTTTGTTTAGGAATTTGTTCCCACCCAACATCGCTGAAGCTACTTTCAACCAGGTACGTACATGGGAATGTTTTTGAATGTTTTTTTTGGGGGGGGGGGGGAGTATTTGTCCACTTTTAGAATCGAATTGAGGAAATAGCGCGTAAATCGGAAAATAAGGTTCAATCTTTTGGGTTCGAGTTACGTAACTCGAGTTTGATTTCAACGCTGTTTGTCATTGAGCTACGGACAGATGTCAAAGTGGGCGTGGCCACCAAAATATGGGTGTGTCCGAGCGCGTAACTTCAAAAGTGTGTAACTCGAAAATCGTAACTCGAGTTTTTCCTTCCCCCTTTTGTCACTGTGTTTGGGTGAGGGAGTGTACGTGCCTGGGTAATAAAAGTCATAGAGACATCGATTTAAAAAATTGAAGTCAGTTGTCTGTCCTCTTATTAACGATAAATTGCGTCATCACATTGTCAAAGGAGTGTGGATCGTAATACTACTTTGACAATGTGATGGCGAAATTTATCGTCAAATAAAAGCCGATGTCAATTTTTTTTACAATAACAAAAACGATAAAAATTTCTGGTTCTTAGTGATCAAAACAACCAACGGAAAGCTTATCTGTCTGTCAACTTTTTGATGATTAGAAATAGCCAATCAGTGCGCGAGAAACCTGCATTGTAAAAAATACATCAGAATGGTAAAAAAGGAAGACCAAAAGTAGAAAAAAACTTGACTAGAAGAAAATGTGTCTAAAATCAATGATATGATTGTATCATTAGCAACTCAGACGCATTTTTAGAATCAAAATCTTTCGTTAAGTGATTGAGAAACCTTCAAAATCAGTATTTGATAGCGGTACATCATTATGTTGTTCGGTTTGATTGATATTCCAGAGGCAGACGAGGTACGCCAACCTACCCGCCAAGTATCGAGTCTTCAACAAGACCGTTGAAAGTACCACTCAGCTCAATACAACTGATGGAATCCTAGCGGAATTCAACGTGAATGCCACCCACAAGATCGTCACGGTCAAGCATATGGTTAGAAAAGCTTATGATCAAATACCAAACGGAACTTTACCTGTTCATGGAAGCTCAATGAATGTGCTTGGGCTTGTACTGTTCTCCATCGTGATGGGAGCCATGTTGAGCAAGATGGGGGAAAAGGGGTTGCCGTTGAAAACATTCTTCGAGGCGCTGAATGACGTGGTGATGAGAATGGTGATACTTGTTATGTGGTAAGTCTCTCTCCAACCCCCACCAACCCCTCTCCCTTGCTCTCTCACACCCTTCCTCCCTCTTTCTGTCTTTCTTTCTTCCTTTCTTTCTTTCCTTCCATATAGAGCGTTTTCACTCACGTGAAAAAGCAGCCATATTGGTGTACTAAACAATAGAAACTTTCTGTACAGTTTTCGCATAAAAATAGAGTTCAATTCCCTGAGGATAGAAAATGTATTGCTTTGGTACACCAACATGGCCGCTGTGACGTCACGTGAAAACGCTTTAGGAGTTTGCAGTAAGGATACCTCGCTACAGTTTGTGTAGCATTTCGGGAATATCAGATCGATATTTTATACTCGGACACACGTGTACCAATCCATGCAGCATAGCATAATCAGCCCAGTGCGAGGCTGAGGAAAAAAACTGGGTCGAGTTGGCATTGCAGTGCATTGTGGGGCTGTTTTAAGGGACATATTTCCAAGATGGCGTCTATTTCGTTACCTCAAAAAGTCCCAAAATGCACTGTAATGCCAATTCCATCCAGTTTTTTCCTCAATCCCGGAATGACTAATTGCATCCACGTCAACCATTGCACACCACTGTGTATTTCCCATCAGGCCTAAAACTTCAATCACGTGATACTCTCAATGCGCTTCCTTGGTATACCGCTGACCATAATACAATTATTAATGAACTTTTATAAAGAAAATCCATTCCTCGTTCATTCTTCCCATATCTCTATGTTTATATGGTACTTCTTCCACAGGTACTCGCCGATTGGAATCTGCAGTCTTATTGCCTCCAAAGTAGCAGGAATGGGCGACATTTTATTTTCTTTGAAGCTCTTAGGAATGTTCATGCTAACCTCCATCCTTGGAATTCTCCTCCATACCTTTGTCACGCTACCTCTTGTATACTTTATCTTTACAAGAAATAATCCGTTTAAGTTCATGGCTAAGATGCGTGACGCGCTCATCACGGTCTGGGGGACAGCCTCCAGGTAAGATGTACTGAGTGCGCATCCTCTTCACAAGTTTTCGTCCAAATTTTCCCCTAATCAGCTTCATAGAAATTCCACAAATTGGCACAAGTTAGTAAGTTTAGTAGAACTCGGTAGACCATAGAACTACAAAAATTTGGAATAATTTGTACAATTTTGTTAGTTAATGTTTTCAAGGATAAATAAATAACCTTTTGACTCTATTTCGTCTCCGTTTGCATAGTGCTGCAACTCTTCCAACAACAATTCGATGTACAGAAGAGAATCTTGGTATTGATCCCCGCATCACCAGGTTCGTGTTACCCCTTGGAGCTACAGTCAACATGGATGGTACCGCTCTGTATGAAGGCGTAGGGGCGATATGGATTGCTCAAATAAACAACATACCACTTAGCATCGGACAGATCATAACGACGAGGTAGTTGTTTGTCTTTACGTTCATCCATCTATCTCTTCTTGCTTGCTTGCTTGCTTGCTTGCTTGCTTGCTTGCTTGCTTGCTTGCTTGCTT